GTGTAGACTGGCCGTAAGAACAAAACTGTGCTTATAAACGTTGTCACTTGATCCACAAAGATATATAGTGTTAGATTGACGTGTGAACAAAAAGAAGTTATATGTGCTGATGACAATTACTACTGTAAGCGAATTGAACTTGACCATTGTTTCCTTAGCGTTTTTTTAGACAACAAAATTCTGATACTTCTTAATAGGTAGACGCGTTGCCGACAAGGGCGTAGAATAAGGTTTTATATGCAGTGGTAAGATAACAGCACAACATGAGAGGTGTAAATTATGGTTTTTATAAGTAGGCCCGTAAAGAAACGTTAATCAACTTAGAGCCTGGAATCATCAATTAAGTATCAAATAAAAATACCGCCGTCAACAACAACAACAGCAAGGCGTCTTGCGTTTTATATATCAAAGGCTATAACCATAACAGGCGCAGATTGGAGTGTCTAATGACTAATTCTGAATCAGCACAAAATGAACACACTTCAAGGCATTAAAAAATGCTACAGCTTGAATATTTTTATTAAATATTCAAACTGTAGCACTTTTAATTTTCTTTCAAAGTAGCGAGTTTGGTTTGCGAAGTGGTTAATAGTCAGTTTATTACAAGCTTAACCAGGCAGTACAAGCGGGTATTTGATGCAAGCTGGACAGATATTCTTTGCATTGATGCAATCTAGGTTTCAGAAACGGCCCGTGAAATCGAGCACGACGCTAAACTAAATATATTATTTAGCGATTTTAGACTGAAGTGCAGGTGCTTCTGGGTGGAAGATTAAGGTACAGTGATAGCCAACAACAATAAAGAGACTTTGCCAAGATCACTAGCGTAATCGTTTATGAGCATGGTAAGTATGATGCTAGGGGCTCAGTCTTTTGTACCGGTAGAAATATTTACACGGCTTACTGGGAGCTCAGCATTTTGTAGTAAATGAAACGCAGATTTATGAAATTAAAGAAGTCGATTTAGGCACATATGGGACTCAGAGGATTTGGACTAATTATCTCGCCGAAGCGAAGCGAAGGCGGGAAGGCAAAAATCTGGAGTAAAACCGAAATTACCGCCGCGTAGCGGCGGCGCTCGGCTAGCTTTGCAGCAATACAACTTCAAAAATATTGGGTCTGAAGTAGGAGATCTCAATACGGTAGTTGCAACAGGACTGAAATGTTAGTGGAAGTGAAAAGGCTATCGTCCAAGGTACTCCAGAGTGGATTAGCATGGTTCAGGTAGCCTCAATCATGGTCCGATTAGTTCGTTCTACCCCGCCATTCTGATAATGGCCATCACGTTCCAAAAGCTAGTATTTTCACGCAGTGACCCGTCACCTACTCCTTACGCAAAGTATCACGGACATCTTCCCGATCTTGCTGAATCGCACAGACTCAGCGAGAGCGTGACTGCCCGGCTGTCACCCGCCCAATGTAGTACACTTTTCAAGTGTCAACCAGTTGGCCAGCGAGGTGTACATGACGACCAACCAAGAGGGTACTTTGTCTGCATTCGAGAAGAGGGAGCTCGTTTTGTACACAGCTGTGACGTATAATTCCTTGGGTCGCCGTCCAAAATGCCAAGCCAATGATTTCCATAGAGATAAACCCTCTTCACGTAGCCCAACGAGGGGAGCCACCACCACTACAGACGCACAATGCGGGGAAGGAGTGCAGATGGAGCGTCTACCAAAATAGTCGAGGGAAATAACGACACTACCGGTTTAATAAATTGCAGTTGCTAAAAGGTATTGAACCAGTAGCTAGTATTTACTAAATAATTCGTTGAACGAAGGCTTCGTATTTCGAAGAACGAACTTCGTTCTTCGAAGTACATGTACCGACTTCTCCATGTTGTGCCGGACGATTTTTAAGACGGACAATCGATTTCTACCAATAAAATTGTTTTATTATTGGCCTTTCTTGTCTCCATGTTAAGCCGGACAGTGCAGAGACGTCACCGTCTCTTCGCAGTCTGAGATTCAATGGAAGGCGCTCATGCTGAAGAAACTGAGGCAGACGAACTCACCCAGCGGGCGAAGCCTGTAGGTCGCCCACGCCTTAACGAGAATGGCGGACGTAAACCGCTTAAACGAAAGGTGGGATCATACACTAACCAACTAAAACTCGATGCAGCGACCCACCTCGAAAAGCACAACGATGTCAAAGCAACGATTAGGCATTTCTGGCCGGAGCTAGACTCACAGCACTACGATAGCAGACGAAAATTAGTTTTAGACTGGAAAAAAAACAAAGCTAAGCTAATGAAGGCGTGCAGCTCGACCAAGGGTAAGTTGCGGAAGAAGGAGAGAAAGGTCGGTACAGCTACCATTATCCCACCTGCAGCCGAGCTAGAAATCAGATGTGGCCTGGAACGCGCCGTTAAAATCTCGCATGAGAGGTTTATGGATCACATTTTTAAGAGAGCAGCTAAAAAACCATGCAAAAGACAGCGAGATCCCGTTTCGAATGGAGCCACCAAATCGACGGGTCATCGCGAAATGGATTGCACAAGGCTGGGAAATGCTCACGCCATCAGCAATCTCAAACGGATTTAAGAAATGTGGATATCCGTATGTAGATTCTCGTCAAATGGCTACTGCTGTTGAGGACGACAACTTTGCTAATGACGTGATCGCCGAGCTCCACAACTTGCATATTGTAGACGAAAGCTACGGTGACATCGATTCTGACGCGGATTTTGATAGACCAGGGTTGGAATCTGAAACAAGCACAGCAAATCAATAGACTCATTTTTTGTTCTGAAGTTCAAATTTTTTTTTATGGATCCAATCGGTGTAGATAGGGTGTCCGGCACAACATGGAGAAGTCGGTATTAATACATGTATTTGTTTAGACTGAAGGATGGTGAAAATTTCCTCCTGATCTTTTGAAGGTTGGCAACAGCCTGTTGCTTTGGCAAAGCTCTATCTTTTAGTAACTGGTCGGAACCATCATCCTAATCCAGGATTAGAAATCCGGGGTCCGTAGCTTTTAAAATTTACCGGTTTTCAAGGAAACTAATTACTACTAATAAGGAGTTGATGCTTATTTTATTCTTAAGTACGCCCGATAAATGAAGAAACCTGGGAATGATAGCCAGAATTGTAGCAAAAACGATTGTTTTAGGAGCTAGGATCGTGAGGTCGAATGTTACATATTACAGGTAAAGTTCGACATGGTGTGAAAAGTTTACACACGATGTCAAATCTCGGGGTAGGGATGCACACTGTACCGGTACATCCAGACAGGGGATTAGATTCTGATCAGATTCATGTCATTGACAGACTCCTCGTTTTGCTGGCGCTCGAAATGACATTGCTTCATTTCCGAGGCGCCAGTTTCTAATACGTGGTCATGCACGTATTTATCCTCTCCGTTCTCTTTCTCTTGGGCCTCGCGCAGAGGACAGACGCTGCATCGAGTTCTTTGAGATCGACGCTGGTGAGCGATGCTCCGTCGATAAAACTTCATGTCTCTTTCAAGCGCAAGAGCATGGAGCTCCACGGACGCTCCGAGTTCGATATCTACGCCACGCCCGTTGTGTTTGTCAACGGTGCTGGGATGCTCTACAACAGCTACGCCACGTTCCATGACGACGACTCCGAGTTCACATACTCTGTCGTGGACGGGTCTGCCTACCTGACTACGACGGACGCCGATGATGTTGAGACGGTTGTGTGCCTTCCGTCCAACACGCTACCGTTCGACGAGATTCTCTCTGCTCTCAATGACGCGACACCAATTCCCAGTGCCTCGATTGGCGACAAGTCTGTCAAATGTGAAAGTGGTACCCTATTCAAGACAACATTTGCTGGATCTCACTACGCTATTTGTGCGTCGGGAGAGGCTGGTTTGACTGCGTATAGTAGTGATTTGGACATCGATGTGGAGTACCTAGACGACCCCGTCAGCATCTCAAAGCCGGACTTGACGGAAGGATCCTCGTCGTGCGAAATTGTGCAGGAGGCAACGTCGTTGACCCCTACAGCGCTCGCATTGGCTACCGGTCGCAAGGTCCCGTCCACCACTTCAAGAAAGCTGAAAGTAGAGGCGCATATGGCCATGGAGTCGACACAGTGTGAAAAATGTCCAACTACTCCTCGTCCATGCATCTTCCTCCACGGTTTAGGCAACCCCAATGATGTCAAGGAGCTACAGGACACCCCGAAGCTAACGCGACGTAAGTTCGGAGACATGCACGGCCACGCTCCTTGCTGTTCCACGATCAAGTACGCTGTGGTGAATACCAAAGATGCCGGTTGGACAAACGACACACTGCAGCACAAATACTGTGACTATGCTCTCTCCATGAGCGACAGTAGCGACGTCGCTACTGGGACCATCGACAAGACAATCATTGTGACACATTCCATGGGTGGACTCGTCCTGGCTCACGCTCTGGCTACGGGGAAGTGTCGGTTCAGTGACACGACCTCGTGGGTGTCACTAAGTCCCCCGATGACTGGCAGTATGGCTGTGGACTATCTCATGGGTGCGTGTCATAATGGGACCAGCGATATTACCGAGAAGCTCTACGACTTGGTCGGCCAGTGTCCCTTGAACACGGCGCGCAAATCAACTATTTACGAGGGTGGAGAGTTCAGCTCCCCGTCTATCGATGCCGCTTACGCGGCAGCGCAAAAAGCGTATCGAAAAAATGTGGCAGCCGCCATGTGCAGCGACAGCTATGTCGGACTCTTCTCGACGTATCAAGCCAAATGCATCTTGGCGGGAATGATGATCCCTCACAAGTCCAAGAAGAACGACGCTCTCGTTGAGTTCGATAGCTGTCTGGGTGGCCTTGATGAGAACCTCTTCGGTAATCACTACTTGGATACATTCTACAGACCGAAGCTAAACCACGCCGATACGGCATTTCTAAATGGTGATGGCATTCTCAAGAATTCACAGAAACCAAGGAAGTGGTTTGAGTGTCTGCAGCTGTAGTTGGCGACAACTATTTTTTCTAAATTTCATTTTGTAAATATTTTAATAAAAAATGTTGCCGGCGTCTACAACTTGATGAATTCGGAAACGTGTTGGTGCGCGTCATGCGATTTGTGCATCTGTGGTAGTCTCTGAAGTTTGATACATCGGAGATGAGCTTGCAACTTCGGCTGGAAGCGTTTAAGTGCCTCTCTTATCGCGTCTACATCTTTTGGGCCGATCTGAGTATTTCCACTGAGGAGAAGCTCTTCCAGTGTGGAATTCCCAGAAGCGTATTGCACCCCATCGACCGTCTCCAGAATAGGGAGACCCAGCTGCGCAATGGCCGTCGCGCGGTCAATCTTCTTCTTGGCCTTCTTCGCTTGCTCCATCTTTCGACCATAAGCTTAGAAAGTGTCGTTAAAATCACAAGTAAAGCCTCCTGTACCTGGGCGTGGATTTGACTTTCAGCTGCATCAAGTTCCGCTAGGAGCTCCGGTGGGGCAGCGTATTTCGTCAGCCCATCCACCAGAATCTTCGCCCTGTGAAGTGTACATGTCGGTGACTATTGTCACATTAGAAATGATGAATACGTACCCACATCCGGAGATTTTGTTGTTGGCAAGTGATAGTGTCTTAAGTGTTGCGTTAAGCGGCAGTGCGTGTGCAAATGCACGAGCGCCAGAATCGTCGATATCATTCTGAAACAGATTAAGAGCTTCAAGAGTCTTGTTGTTGCGCAATGCTTTTGCAAGTGCCACTGCTCCTCGAGAAGTAATTCCGTTCGCTCGTAGGGAGAGAAAAATGAGAGTACAACTCTCAGTTAATAGCTGAGCAAACATTTCCGAGTGGTCGTCAACTCCCTCCGACTGGAGCGAGTTCCATTCCAGCTGGAGAGCAGTCACGTGTGTCTTTGGAACGGTCGAGCACAATAATTGCAATTGCTCCTTGTTCAATCCAACGTTGAAGAGGCTAACAGTATCAGTTAAGTTATAAAGTTTAACAGACGTATTATAAAGTTTGACATACCAAACGGAGCGAGTTCTCGTTGCCAACGGGAGAGCGTAGCACATAGCGCGGCAGTTGCCGTCATCGAGTTGCCAGTTTTTAATCGAAATCTGCTCCACGTCGCTCACATCGTAGATGTCGTTGCTCACCGACGTCTCGTTGGATGTTGCGCCTTGACGTTCTTCTTCATCCGGATGCAGTGGGAGCAACTGGGGATGAGGAATTAAGTTCCGTAACGTGCAATACGCGAGCACATCTCGTCGAAAAAGGTGTGCAGGTGGCAACTTTTTCAAAACTTTATCGTCGAGAGGAACTTGGCGCTGCGCATTCGCCTCAGGAGACCAAACACCACGCGGTACTACAACCATTCTGTAGCGTCCTATTAAACAGTAACGGAGACTGGACTCTCGTCTATATTTGCTGTCTACGAGAAATTTACATGTAAAGTTCCCAATTGTAGACAAACGTTATGCTGTGTTGTGCACATGCGCGCACGTTTTACACTTTTTGGAGAACGCTTTCGAGATAAACTCTTGGCATCGGCAAGAGCTGCAAGGTCCTGGAGGTGCTGTTGCTGCGGATGCGCATCTCTGTGATCCTCCTGAAGATTCGAATTGTGCTATTCCTTCCATGGCCTGATCGATAGCATCGTATAGACACTGTGCAGCTCGTGGATGTGGAACTGCACCACTTAGAATCTCCTCCGGTGTGAGTTTCTGGCCGTAAAAGTTACTGTTCATCTCAGTTCGAGCCGTGATGACAGCTCCATGCAGCGAGATGCCAGCAAAGAGGCCCCTACTGTGCGAATAACTGTAATTGGCGTTGAAGCCACCTCGACTCGCAGCCGCCTGTGCTACTGCATCGCGTCCGTAAGGACCAACCGCCACACTCAGGCCTCCCCCAACGTTTACTTGGGTACGGTGGAACACCTTGACAGCGTTCTTCGAGCCCATGATGATCATAAACTCAATGAGTTCGCCTCCACCTTCCAGACCACCTCCAATACCGGCCGTGCCGATAGCGGACGGGGCAGACCACGAGTCATCGTCAAGCTTGGCGATCACAATACCTGTACCCATCTTGGCTGTAATAAGCAGTCCTGCCTTGATAACGGTGAGGAAGGCAATGCCTTGTGCCCTTTTGAGAAAGTTTACGGGAATGTAGCGGTCGCTATCTGCACCAAAGTCTGGGCGGAAGAAGTTGCCTAGAATGTCAGCCGCAGAGCGACATGCGCTCTCCAGTGACCGACTAAAGGGCAGGTGTAGGCGCGATTTAGCCTCGTGTGGGTTCTCCTTATGACAATTGGCGTATTGAGTGTTCAATCCGTCCTGGAAACACTGTAGAATCGGCGCACAAATCGTGCAGACCCGTTGTGGGTGAGCTGGATCGTACTTTTTCTTCATGCTCTCGTGCGCTACTTGGTCGGGTGAGATCAACATCCTCGCGGGAGAGCAGGAATGACACACACTCGCGCCACATTTGCGGCAATGATGTCTCCGTCGTTTAATCTCGAAAACCTCGCTACAGATAGCGCACTTGGGGTTGTCGGCATACCGATTCATAGTCAGTCTGGACGCTGGTGCTGTAGATGGCGCAGGAACGAGCTCTCCGCTCGTATTACTGGACGTATCGCTTTCAATACTATCACGTCGAATTAATTCAGACGCGGAGTATGGTCGTCTGTCCCCGGACGGTCTCATGGGAGCCACGCCAGAGCTGGAGACTGGTCGTCGCGCATGAGAGGAAGATTTACTGCCTACACCAGAGCTTAAGGCAGTAACGCCTCCTGCTCGCTTGCTCTTGACGTGAACTTTAACTAGTTTCTTCCTCTTCTTGTCGTCCGGGATAAGTCTCGCTAACTGTGGCAACATGTGCTCTAGCATGAGCTCACTGCCGAAATATGTGCTTAGTCTCTCGTAGAAGACTCTGGCGCGTAGCTCTCCCTGTCCAAACTGCTTGCAGTCGGCTTTAAAGGCCGAGACTACCTCGTCGTGGTCCTTATTAGCGCCTCGAACGGCTGCGAGCATTCTCTTGTAGATAAAGGCGGCTTCTTCCCCTGCAGCAGCTGATGGGATGTCAATTTTCTCCTTGTCCTTGCTTTCATCGCGTTCAGTATCGTTTTCTTTACTTTTTTCTCGTTCTTTGTCTTTATCTTTTGATTTCTTCTTCTTGTTCCGGTCCTTGGAGATATTACGACGGCTGATGCCCGCAGACGTGGCAGAGCTGCCCACAGCATGAGTGGAGAGGACGGAGGAGGCGCCAGTGAAGCGGAAGCCGCACTGCGAGCAGGAGCGCATGCCCGTGGAAGCACCAGCGCGACAGGAAGGGCACGAAGCCATGCCCGCACTCGGTACCGTCAGAGTGATGATCAGGCCAGTTCAGCGGGTATTATTGATTTTGGCCAATGAAACGGTTTGGCAATGCAGAATTTTAATCAATCATGAGATGCGTCGCTTCGTAGATAGCTACATTAAATGTATGAACCAATTGGCGGTGACCCGGGTCACCAACTATTATTTGATTATTTAATTTTAGCACCAGGTAATTAAGTACCATTTCTCGTTTGGACTGCGATCCTTTCACTGTTGGCGACCCTCCTACCACAGAACGACGAGCTGGCGGCACAGGTGGCTCGAGTCAGACTGCACCACGGAAGAAACAAAAGCCTCGGAATCGACTTACTGCATTTGAGCGTGCTACTTGGCACTGGGAAAGCTGAGCAGTAAAGCGCAAATCGTTGTCGTTAAAATATTTCTCGATTCCTGCCGAGTATTTAACTTACAATCCGGATGAATCAGCATTCAGCGAGAATAAGGACGAGTCTAGTGACGCTTACAAAGGTGCAAGAAGTACGAAGAGAGAAGTAGCTGTAGGAGTGCAAGCAAAGCGACCAAATGGATGACCTAGGAAGCAACAAGCTCATACAACAAAATTCACATTTATCCTGCGCTTTCTGACACCCCGTCCACAAATACCAAGCAGCCTGCATATCGATGATTCGAATTCGGGCACTTCTAGCAGCACAGTGATGACTAATGACCACGCAGTCGACGCCAATAACAACAATCAGTATCGGCAACCTCAGATATTGAAGGCGACACCACATATTTTAGGAACGACATCATTTAGCTTAACTCGGACGTTGGATCGAAGCTGCAGTGCACCAGAGCTGCAGCAAGGAAAGGATAGTCGGCATTGCCTGATTACAGAAACTTAAATAATGCATATGTTTTATGCCAGAATACGGGTCATTGGTGTGACCCGGGTCACCGCCAACTGTTTCATTTGTTGAAGTGCTCGAACTGCTTTAATGGGCTGGTTGTGGCGTATTTCGCAAGCTTTGCAATGGTACGGAAGACATGATTTGACTTGAAGGCTAACGAGGACTCCATGTCGATAGATGTAGTGGCGACGCAGTCTACGGTCGGACATCGTGTCCGCTGTAACACGCGATAGATTGGCTACTGCTTGTTTACGAAGGTACATTGATAGCCAACAACAATCAAGCGTTTGTATGGATCGAGATCCGAAATTACATGTAGACTTATCACTTTTAGGCATAGAAAACAACATAGTGGAGATTTAGTCTGTGATTTTAAACATGTTGTACTGTAATACCCTGATTACAGAACTACTTAAGCACATAGGATTTCATTTTGTTTGGAATTTTTACAAGTAGGTTCGAGCCTAAACTACTGCCGGGTAGGCTAGTACTATTACTACTGTAGTAGTAACTTATAACAACAACAGCTACAAAAATAGTTGTCGCCAACTACAACTGCAGACACTCAAACCACTTCCTTGGTTTCTGTGAATTCTTGAGAATGCCATCACCATTTAGAAATGCCGTATCAGCGTGGTTTAGTTTCGGTCTGTAGAATGTATCCAAGTAGTGATTACCGAAGAGGTTCTCATCAAGGCCACCCAGACAGCTATCGAATTCAACGAGACCGTCGTTCTTCTTGGACTTGTGAGGGATCATCGTTCCCGCAAGGATACACGTGGCTTGATACGTCGAGAAGAGTCCGACATAGCTGTCACTGCACATGGCGGCTGCTACATTTTCGCGATACGCTTTTTGCGCAGCCGCATAAGCGGCATCAATAGACGGGGAGCTGAACTCTCCACCCTCGTAAATAGTTGATTTGCGCGCCGTGGTTGAGGGACACTGGCCGACCAAGTCGAAGAGCCACTCTGTAATATCGCTTTTTTCATTATGACATGCACCCATGAGATAGTCCACAGCCATACTGCCAGCCATCGGGGGACTTAGTGACACCCACGAGGTCGTGTCACTGAACCGACACTTCCCCGTAGCCAGAGCGTGAGCCATGACGAGTCCACCCATGGAATGTGTGACAACGATTGTCTTATCTATGGTCCCAGTAGCGGCATCGCTAGTGTCGCTCACGGAGAGAGCATAGTCACAGTATTTGTGCTGCAATGTGTCGTTCGTCCAACCAACATCTTCGGTATTCATCACAGCGTACTTGATCGTGGAGCAGCAAGGAGCGTGGCCGTGCATGTCTCCGAACTTCTGTCTCGTTAGCTCTGGGGTGTCCTGTAACTCTTTGATATCATTGGGGTTGTCTAAACCGTGGAGGAAGATGCATGGACGAGGAGTAGTTGGACATTTTTCACACTGTGTCGACTCCATGGCCATATGCGCCTCTACTTTCAGCTTTCTTGAAGTGGTGGACGGGACCTTGCGACCGGTAGCCAATGCGAGCGCTGTAGGGGTCAACGACGTTGCCTCCTGCACAATTTCGCACGACGCGGATCCTTCCGTCAAGTCCGGCTTTGAGATGCTGACGGGGTCGTCTAGGTACTCCACATCGATGTCCAAATCACTACTATACGCAGTCAAACCAGCCTCTCCCGACGCACAAATAGCGTAGTGAGATCCAGCAAATGTTGTCTTGAATAGGGTACCACTTTCACATTTGACAGACTTGTCGCCAATCGAGGCACTGGGAATTGGTGTCGCGTCATTGAGAGCAGATAGAATCTCATCGAACGGTAGCGTGTTGGACGGAAGGCACACAACTGTCGTAACATCATCGGCGTCCGTCGTAGTCAGGTAGGCAGACCCGTCCACGACAGAGTATGTGAACTCGGAGTCGTCGTCATGGAACGTGGCGTAGCTGTTGTAGAGCATCCCAGCACCGTTGACAGACACAACGGGTGTAGCGTAGATATCGAACTCGGAGCGTCCGTGGAGCTCCATGCTCTTGCGCTTGAAAGAAACATGAAGTTTTATCGACGGAGCATCGCTCACCAGCGTCGATCTCAATGAACTCGATGCGGCGTCTGCGAGACAAAGAAGGACGAGAACGAAAAAAATAAATACGTGCATGGCCTAGTAGTGAAGATCGGAAAATGAAGCAATGCCAATGCGATCGCCGTCAAAACCAGGCTTGTATTAAGCCTTGAGTCTTGAATCAAGACTCTTGACAGCCATCGTTAAATATGAAATCTGATCAGAATCTCTGGATGTATCGGTTTTCCGGTCAGTGCACATTTCCGGTCAAGCCAATAATTGGCTAATCAAACCGCCCGAACTCAGATCTATGCTCTAGCTTTATCACGGCGGTCCATGGTTACCGCTTACAGGACTTCGTTTGCTTCAAATTATCGGGTTTTAAACTAATAATATGGCTGCACATACTTTCCCCGGGCGGGACTGATTGATTTTGTTTGGGCGATACTCTTTCAATACCGATATTGCAGCTTCTGCAGCGTTTAAACTACAGCAGCCAACAAGAAATCAATCTACAAAGACTAATCGCTCTCCAAGAGAAAAAGATATCAACTCTGAAATGGTTCTGCTTGCGATATTTCGCACCCAGAGCCTCTGGGCCATAGGAAGTGGAAGCTACGGTTACTGTATGATTTCTATTCTGGATTAGGATGATGGACTTCCGTGTGTGGTCTTCATATCGTTTATTTAGTTTTAAAAAGGATCGCTCAAATTTCATTTTGCGCCACGCAAAGAAAACTCCCTGTTAGCTAGCTGTGCCGAACACGTGTACGAAATAGTATTTGAAGCTTTTCGCAAAGCGTGTACTGTACGCCCTGGTAACGCAGAATCGGCTCAAATATTCACTTAAGTACTTTCGTTAGAAATATGGTACAGTACTGCACCCCGTTTTCGCGGGGGTGGACCATATAGGATTTGCAAATAAATCAGACTCTCGCTTACAAGCAATAGTTCATTTGAATTCAGGATCATCACATCCGGAAGTTTATCAAAGGTCCAAGGGCGCAAAAACGGGGTGCAGTACTGTACAAGTATTTATTGTGTGGAATATGATCAAATAAAAACTTAGAAGTACCCTTAAATGTTTTATACTCAGCAAATTTAGACCACGACGACAACGATCATCTAAATGACCCAGACCAAGGCTAAATCAAAAGGTAGACGAGACATCAAATGCAGACGTATCCAAATGCTGGCTGACAGAGGTCGGCTGTCCACACGACGTCTTGGATAACATAGTAATACCACTTATCAAGGTAGACGAAACGACTGGTGCTTACTCAAAAATCGGCCCTGTGCGATGAACCGTTCCTGCGTGTGATCAATTCCACCGGTGAACCTCACAAAATTTCGAATCAATCCCTATAGGGCTGTACGTACTACTACTCGTAACACTACCAGGATTAATTCTGGTGTGAAGCTGCGGCAAACCGCTCGGATAAACAAAGAAGCTTATAAAAGCAATATTACACGCATAAAGTCGAATTGTTTGTCGTTTTTGCTAAAAGCAGCCTGCGCCGAGCTACTGCGTGACATATTCGGGCCTGCCGAAGCTTACCCAGTGCGTGTGCTCATCTGCGACGAAAAGATGAGGACGTTGGCCGTGAATTACTCCCAAGCAGTGAGAATGGTACTATTGTGAGTTCAACCGTGCGACTCTCCCAGGCGTATGAAGGAAGCCTGTTGTGGGTTGCGTAGAGCACAGCACCATATATCGCCTTCGCCGTACTCCGTGTCGCGCGTAGAGCCCACGCAGCCACAGAGCAGACTGGCGTCGAGCAGACGGGTTTGTTTGCTCTCTCGAAGCCACAATTGAACTCACAGTTCTACATGAAAGGAAGTTCAGCTAGCAGCAGTGACAGTCCAGTGATTATCGAGGCCTACAGTGATAAGGACTATGTGGCAGACTGAAGACCGCTGTTCCGTGAGTGGTGGGGTCCTGTGCTTCGACGGTATGGTGATTGGGTGTCCTGTTGCATTTTTTATTATTTTTATACGTAATGTATTTACCAAGAAACATACAAGTGTTGCAATTTCGACGATGGAGGCCGAATTTGTTGCAGGATCGCTGGTGGCATGCGAGTTACGCGGAGTATACGAGATCCTTGAAGAGATCGGCATTGCGGATAAGGTACCAATGGTGTTTTCTGCTGATTGATAACCAGGCCGCCATCAAGCAGATGGAAGGAGAAGACTCCTCTGGCAAGGCGAAGCGTGTCAACGTGCTGTTGAGCTTCATCAAGTTCTTCGTGAGCAAAAACGTGTTCGCTGTGAAGTACTATGTGTCACGTGTTATGTCGACCTACTGACGAAGGTGTTCTAGACGCCTGAGCTACGAATGCTGGCCTCGCTCATGTACGGGAAGGCATGTTGAAGCTGCAGTCCTTATGGTGCAATCCGTGCAAGCCATCGGCGACCAGCGCAACCAGTCGGCGACCAGTAGGAACAGGTGACGACACCTACATTAGGATGAGATAGAAGTATGATTATTACGGTAAATCGTCTAACGTACGTGTACTCCCCACGGCCACCGCGCAAGATCAATACACTCAGTCTGCAATCTATTACCTCCTGCGCATACAACAACAGCAATCAACAGGGCTTAGAATGCAGCGCGTTTGGCGCGCAGTGTAGTATCGCGATGGCTAGTGTAGACGGTAACATGACCTACTAGCTCGGCAATAGACGACATTGCACGGAAAATTGTCTCGTACAGCACAACAGCAAGGGGCTAGCAAAGGCGGACTCACAGCTCCACATTACGGCCGACAAAGCACGGGAGCTGTACTGCACGTGCGGCGCTGCAGCACTCAGGCTCGTGCAGGTGAGCATCACAGCCTCATGACCAAGTTGCCTTGGTTCATGGCGTTCGTCATGATATTTGGTTTGTTCGGTGCCCGGACATGTACACTCCGCGCCACATTAGATCACGCACCCACGTCGGTGGCTGTAGCTCACTCAATTTTTAGAGTTTGGGAGATATGTTGTTCCTATTATCGGCTACACGAACGATTGCAATTTTGCAGTTTACACCAGGGCTCCAATACAAACAATTGATTTTGGCACAGCGACACAATAATCACGCACGCCTTTGTTTACTGAACTCAAGTACTATGTATCGTAATGATAGTGTCAACTGTACATGAACGTATCAACATTGTATGGGATGGGAGGTGGTAGTAGTGTACGTGTGACGGGGTCATACAGCACCTTGCGCTAGAGGAAGCTGACTTCCGAGAGCATACAAACTCTCAGTGAACGGCAGTTCACAGGCCCCCTTTTACCGAAAGGGAGAGAAGTGACCAATTTAAGGTAGAATGTAAACTGAGTATATTTCTAGGTAGGTAAAGCTTGGGTTAACAACAAACTATAAGTCCCCTAAAGAAAAGCAATGTCATCAGCCAATGGTTGGCTCTGGACGACCTTGGTACCTTGTACCAAATATCCCGAAGTATGACGTGTCACACCTCATGTAACTAGGGGTACACTTAGGGCTTCGTACGCCGTTACATCCTCCCCCACTTAGGTTCGGTTTACCGACCAATCAGAATGAAGAAGTGTTCGTCACAAACTTTCATTCTCAAAGTCGAAAACATCGACTTGGCCGCGCGAGCGCGGCGGGGGCTCACTTCACAGTTAGAGCCTCGAGCAGCGGTCTGTGCGCTCCTCTTCTTGGTCTCCACTTCGACCGTTTGTCATGCCTCGTGGCACTGCGAAGAGCGGTGCGAAGACACACTCCAAGGCTGCTGCCGGAAAGGCGCAAGCCAAGAGCACTAAGCCACACGACAAAGGCTCGTTACTTCAGGAGGCTACTCAGGTGGCCTCCGAGGCGATCGGCTCATCGGGTGACACGGCTGTGGGCAAGAAAACAAGCAAGCGCCGCAGCCCGTTGGGGTCGGCCTCCCCATATAATCGTCCGAACCCTTGGTTCGCTGAACGTGAGTTCGACTCTGGAAGTGAGGACGAAGCCGAGTCCAAGAGCACGCACGATGCTCCTGAATGGGAGGGCACAGCCCAGTGCCCAGCGAGCACAAGGACGACAGCGTGCAGTCGCTCGCTTGTGATCAAGGTGATCACAGTCCCAGGACGTCTGTGCGCTCTGAGAGTCCGGCCGTCAAGGCTAAGGGCGCTCCTAAAGCCGGTGGCGATGAGGAAGAGAATCCTCGCAAACGTCTCTCACTTGCCGAGGGTCTTGCGCGTGCTAAGGCTTCTAAAGCCGAAGGTGCCAAGCTCTCTAAGAAGCGTACGGCTACAAAGTCTCCACT